AGAAATAGAGAGAAAAGATAAACAATAATAATAAATTATTAAAGCTTATAACTAAGAAAGCCATGGGAATGTCAGAAAGACCATTCATCTGTAAATGGGGCAGTGAAAGAAGATAATGCACCTAAATTCTACATCTGAAAAACTCTCACTGACTTCACTGATTAGGAAGGAGTTGCTTAAAAATCAGCAGAAAGGGTTCTGTTTTGATCTAGAAAACAATGCAAACTTCACTCAATGGATAACCAGAAATGCCTTTTATCATTGCTATTTATAAATGCTGCCTGTGGCAAAGATTCCCAGTGCATAAATTGTTATGGTGAAGGACTACCAGGAAAAACAATGAGGAAAACACTTTGCAGTTTTGGATAGCCTGATTTGCTTAGTTTACAATCACATTTGTCCTCCATCTCCAAAGCTCAGCCTATGATCAGAGCAGTAAGTGCTGCTCCTGGCTTAGGTAGTGGTGTTCACAAGAATGGATTTGACCAGCAGCTTGCCTCTGTCATTTTTGGGTTGTTTCTTTCCCCCAGCTCCCTCAGCTGCATTTCTTACATTTTGCTTACAGCTTTAGCTCTCATTTCTCATTTCTGTGTGCATGAGGAGTGAGAAGAGGTGGGCAGATTGTTGTCCTGCCTTGATTTATGGCACCTTCTGCAGGCACCCAGGTGCTCCGGTGAGCACGGTGGGTGCCCAGGGATCACCGTGTTCCAGTGACACAGCCACAGCAGCTGGGGGGCTGACATTTTAAATTGCCTGTCTTGGGGAACCCTGGGATGTATTTTAAAGTTATGTCAAGGTCAACTAGCAGATGCCATAGGTGGTTTTGTGCATGTGTCTGTCAGTCAGCACCTTCCCAGAAGTGTCGGAGGAATTGATGAGGAGATCTAATGCAATTCATTACTGTGGCCAAGGCACAATGTGACCCAGATTCTCACATTCACAGACGTGGAGAGTGCTCTGATCTGACATCTCCACATTTGGGATGTTCTGCTTTGGCTCCAGCTGCTGATTCCACCTGCAAGCTGCTGGGTTTGGACCCATTGCTGAGCGAGGTTCAAGGCGTGACATGAGTTACTTGTGACAGGGGATGGGGCTGGTTGTGTAGTAAGGTCATCCCTTAAATGATCCCCCTAAATCCTCACAGGGGAGATTGGATACAGATGTGAGCATTCCCCCCATCCTGCTCAAAACCCCCTTAGCTGGTCATCCTAATTACATCAGAGTAGCATAAATAGAAAACCATGGAAAGTGTTTAAGATGTCTAGAAAGGTGGGGCAGCAGGTATTCCAGCAGCTTTTTTCTAGACACAAATCTTTGCTCTGCCCTTGCATTGGAGGAAGAGGAATTGGTACTACCAAATCAACATCCTCCTTTTTGTTGATGATTCATTTCTAACCATGGCCAGAACTTGTCTGACCCCAATTCTCGAGTCTTTTGACACACCAAATTGAATTGCTTTAAATTTTTTTCTAGCCAGCCCCCAAAAGCATTGAAGTGGTACTTTACTGATGCAAATGTAGAAGGGAGCAGATAATTGAATTTGATCTGGTCAGACAGAGTTACAGCTGGAGGCTACCTGTGAAAACTTTAGGCATAAAAATATTCTCAAGAAATCCAGCAACATCCAACTGGTAAAAACTTGAAATTCCATGTGAAAACTCATCCCACAACACTCAAAATTTCCTCCAAACACTCAAATTAGTTTAAAAAGAATTTTCCTTGTGCACAATTATTTCTGTGTATATAGCCCCAAATAAACAACCATGGGCAAGAAACTCTGTAGAAACAACAGATAGCTGGATAATTTCTGGAAAATGAGCTTTGTGGCTATACACTCAGTGCTAGAACAAAAATTTGCTTCTTCAGGATGCAAATTATCAATGCTGTAGTGTGTGTCCAGCTCTGAGCTGGACACTCAGTCATTAGGCCGGGCTTGGATGTGCCAAGGGGACAGAGGGGACAATGCCATTGCTGCAGGGTGTTCCCCTTGGACCTACACCACCAGATGGAACCAGAACACCCTTTGGATGCTCCTCCCTGTAACACTGAAGTTCATTTTCAGTTCGGTGCCCAAGGGCAGCAGTCAGGCTGAAATCCCAGTTTCCCTCCTCCTCCACAACACATCTTGCTGCTGCTTACACTGCAATCTGCTCCAGGCTCCCAGCTTGTGTATACATCACGGGCTCTGCTGATCACAACAGTGATCCCTTCTTCAAACAATGAGAGCTTTTTCCCTGCAATTTCCCTTTGATGCTTAAATAACAGAAAAACCACAAAAGCAAATGAAGCTCTCCTCTGAATTACTCAGGAGAATATGGTAAGATATGTCTGCTCTGTCAGATACTGTTGTAATTAGGTGCTTTTAGAAATATATGATCTATTTTTATCTGTTATTTATTGTGCATACTGTATTTATTGTGCTGAACACATTACGGCCCTGACAGGCTATCTCAGATTTCTCAGTGTGTTAATTGTCTGGGTCCTGCTGCTACACCAACTTCTGAGATTCAGAGACAAACCAATTGAATTATGACATTTATTTATCTTCCCAGAGTGAATATTTTTGTCTGGTAAATATGCAGGGCTCCTAAAGAGATGTTACACCATACTAATCCTCCTCAGTTCCTGGATTTCTGACCAAACCCACAATGACAGTCCTTTCAGAGCCATGGGCTCACATGGTGACATCCTTTGCCTAAAGGCAAACCCATGAGTTTTCCAGAAGGAATTAAGACCAGCTGTGTCTTGGGGCAGTGCAGATGCACCCCAAAAGTGGGGGTTTGCCCCTCCCTGGGCTGTACAAAGCCATCCTCAGGGCTGTGTTACCCCAAGAACTGAAAGGCAGAGCCACAAGTTCGCTCCCTGGCTCTGGTTTCCTGTCTCTCGTGCCCACTCACCCCTGCCCACATAAAAAAGGAATAGCAGAACAAGGCAATAATTCTTTTCCCTTCCCAAAAACCTAGAAAATGAACATGAGTCAAAGCTCCAGCTGCCTGGCAGTGGGAATGCAAACACACAGAGCTTCCTGGTAGATGCTGAGAAGTAACTGCACAACCTGTTTAATTAATTAATCATCCCTTCAGCCCTGCCATATCCTCCAGATCAGCGTGTCCTCAGCTACCCTGACCACAGGTGGGGTCTGGGCTCAGCTCCTGCCATCCATCTCCTGAGCACCCTGCAGTGAGTTTAGACTTGCATTGCCCACGTGGGGCTTGTTCACCCCAGTTTCTCATCAGAGGCAGCAGGGAAAGGAAATCTCTCCAGCACGTGAGCCAGAGTCTCCATCCCTCCAAGGTATGTGCACTCTTGCCAAGGAAAAGCTCCCCCTTCAGCTTTTCTGTTTGCCTAATTTAAGACTAGAAATGAGAAGAATTTTTATAAGTCTAGAAAGCTGTAGCACAGAGCTTACAAGTGGGAACATCAAAGTCCAGGAGGAGAAGGAAACTGGAGGCCCTCAGAACTCTTTACAATGTGGCAAGGATTAACGACCTTTAGTCCTTTATACCCTGTGCAAACACTACTTATTCCATACTAAACAACACTTAGTCTACAAAAAAACTACTGGTTTTGCTTGTAGAAATTCAGAACCGGATAAATAACAGTAAGTTCATATCCCTGGGAGCACCAGGCAGTGTTCTGCAGCCTTTAGCTTGAAGCACCCTGCCAGGAGCCCCTGACCTACAGCCAGCCTCTAAAGAGCCAAGACCTTCACTGCTCTGATCCTCTTTGGACAAACAGGCTGCCAGGGCTGCTTTCCACAAGCAAAACAGGTTTGCTGAGCTGATCCCAGAAGCAGAGAGCAGAGCTTCCCTGGGAAGGTGATTCTATAGCTCCTCTGCTGTCCTGACACAATTTCATGGTGAGAAAAAGATGCACCTGCATTGAAGAAAGACCAAGGATAATACCACCCATTTCACCTTTTTATATTCCCATTATTATTATTATTATTATTATTATTATTATTATTACTACTACTACTAATTTTTTTTTTTTTTGGCTAATGGGGAGAGAACATGCAGTTCCAGTGCTGTTACAGAGGAATCCTTCTCATCATAGGTGGGTTTTCAAAGGTGAAAAAAAGCTATGGTATAAACCAGAAAATGTCCAAGTTCATGAACAATTGTACAATTTGAGATATTCTGTTGTCTTTTCATGCCGTGTATGTGAGAAACATGGGAATTCCAAATGGGCAATAAAATATAAAATACATGTAGTTTTTAGTGATAATATATCAACCTAAGAAGTGAATGAGCCCATATAGCAGCTTTTTCTCTCATTCATTATTTTAATATGCTGAAATGCCTACATTTTAGTCTACCTGGCTTTTAAAGTATATGGTTATGAATCCCTGGGAAAAAAGACATCAAATGAAATAAATGGCAGCTTTGAATTAAAGTTGTGATGAACACTGTCATAATAAATTGTCTCCTCACCCAGAGGAGTGATAAGGGATTCCTGCTGTACCACACCATGTTTTCACAAGTCAAATGCAGCCACGTGTTCAATTTATAGCTTGCTTTTGGGCTGAAAGTCTCAACAAATCTTAAATTAATGCAGCTGAGCATGATTCAAGGCTATTTGGATAAGAATACCCTGTTTCCAGCTAATTTGGACTGAGATTTTCTAGGCTGTGCAAAGGTTTTTGCAGCCCAAGTCAGAGGCACTGGTGTTTCTAAATCCTCTGGGCAGCGTGTCAAAGCATAATCTTTGAGAGGTGCTGCTCCACAGCTTGTTTCTACAGCCATAATTGCAAGAGGAAGGAATGCTGAAAACATTCAAAACAATGCTTTCATAGGAAAGATTAACCCTTTTCAGCACCCCAGCCTTTACTGGCATTGCAGTGTGCATTAATCACCGATTAATCACCAATTCCCTGCTCCAGCTCCATTTGCTGCTGCTACAAAAGGGGATGACAATTTAAACAACCACTTCTGGGACAATTGGCTGGTGCACAGAGCTTTGCTCTGAATAAGAAATGAAATGAATCCATTTAGACAGGATGGCTACACATTTTGCATATCTTTATTGCACTTTTACCACGTTGCAAACAATTCCACAAAAATGCTGCAAAAGTAAGCCTAGAGCTGCCGAAAGCAGCTTTTTACCCATATATGTATATATTTACACAAAACTATCAAAAACAAAATTGAAAAGTAGCAGCCCCACTATAATAGTCTAGAAAGATAAGAGCTGCCACCTCCTTATTGACAAATAGTACAACTTGTCATTTTACATCACTTTGTAAAACCAACATTCAAGTATTCCTGTCAAAGCACAATTAGTGAAATTCCCTTCTGGTAACCCATGTATTTATTATCTTTATTATCATTATTATTATAATTTTTTGCCTTTAAAAGTTCGTAATGCCTTAACCCTTTAAATGCTGAGTAGCTGGGGGGGAAAATAAGCATTCAATTTAAATAAGATACAATGGATTAGAGCACTTAAAGGGTTAACACAAAATACTAAGTGGACTGTCACCACAAATAAAGTGTGAGTCACAAAACTATGCTGTCCCTCTTAGTTAAATTTGGAAGGTAGGTCTGGGGTTTCATAGATATGCCATATATAAATACAAAATATTAAGTAAAGGCCTCCTTTCTATACAAAAATGACAGGAGGTGTTTTGCTATCAGACTGCTGTCTGTCCATGATTGAGTATTTTCTGAATCTTTTCATAATCTCTCTTCAGGAACTAATGAAAAGCATCACATTAGACTTATTTTTCTTTATTAACTAATCCTTTGCAGAGTCTACACTTTACCTACTTTGGGAACAATTATATCTCATTTCTGAATTCACTGAATTCACAAAGTAGCATACACAGTCTTTTGCAAGACTTTATTTTTTTTTGTTGTTGTTGTTTTGTTTCTTTTTCTTCTTTGAATCTTCTTGACTCGGCTGGTAAAAACGTAGTCTTGCCATTTCACTACCTCTCGGTGGTAACAGTGTTAACATCCGTGTTAAAGTCATTTTCAACCACATTGTCATAGCCGTCCTTCTCTATGCAGTCACTGACAGCCTTGAGGACGATCCGCAGCCGCCTGTCCATCGCCTCCAAGTGAGGCTGGTAGAGGATTGGAGCTATTTTGTCTTTTAGCAAAGATTCTTTCATCAGGAGACTGAGTTTGTACTCCTCCTTGGCTAATAGCTGTAATCGCAGATAGGTAGACTTCCTGATTCTAGGAGGGAAAGGAGGAAAAAAAAATGCAAATCAGTCGATTCCATCGCTGTTGGGTCTCGACAGTGCTAAAAGGCTTATAGCCAGAATTACAATAATAGTGCAGGAGCCTTATTGTGTGCTCTGAAATAACAAGAACCAGGCACTGCCACAGTCCTAATGCAGCTGGCATTGTCACCTGGCCACTGATCTTTTGGGGCCCTTAGAGGTGCAGAGGTTTCGGAGCACAGATCCGTGGGGCAGTGCAGGCAGCCCGCACATCCCTCACCTGGAAGGGCACCACTCGGGGTCTGAGTGCCAGGATGACCCCAAGAGTGTAAAAGTCCTTTTTTCCCAGCCCGTGCAGCCAAAGAAGTCTGAAATGCGTAGGTTTGGCTTCTCAAGGTTGTTTATTTTTCCTTATCTATAACACTCTTTCTCTGACCTGCTGAGCTCTGTCTAGCAAGTCGGCCATGGCATTCTGTCTGCCCTCTAGGGCAGTGTTTATATTTTATACTAAAAACTACGTGTATTATGTTTATAATAATGTGCCAATATCTATCATTTATGTTAGACAGTGTGTCTCTACCTTAAACCAATAGAAAAGTGTCACTATCACAGCAAGACATGAAGGGCAAGAAGAAGAAGAAGGCCAGGACAGGCCGAAATCCCTCCATCTTGACCCGCTGAACTACATTCTAAAAACCCCAAAATTCTACTTTTTCAAGCTGTGTTAATCCAAATATCACACTACTCAAACCCTTGTGGCTTGTAATTCCTCATACAGAGTTGGCAGTTTTTTCCACAGGCTAAAATCGAAGCCACAGCTGTTTTTGACTTTGTGCCAAGGTCTCTGAGCCCCCAGCCAGGGTCTGGAGACAGCCAGGGCAGCCAGAGGGATGTCCTGGACTCTGACAAGCACCAAGTGGAGCTGGTGCAGCATTCATAGGGCCACGTCCACCTTGGCAATGACACGTGTGACACATGTGGCACTCAGCAGGGACATGTGTGACAGCAGCAGAGGCTCCTCAAGCTCAGCCTGCAGGGCTGCCCAGAGCCCCCACAGGCACAGAGCTCACCCTGCACAGCTGAAACTCTAAATGCCACCTGGCCCCTCTGAAAACCCTGGCCATGGGCACCATGGAAAGTTGTTGAGAAGCATGTGAACAAGCTGGGATTTTGTCACTTGACTTCCATGGGATGTGTATTTTGTCTTTAAGCTTCTCTCCCAATGGCTCACGTTCCTGCAAGGCCCTGACCCCACAGAGGATTTAACGAGGCAGTGCCAGTGCTCAGGGCTGGCTGGGCAGGATCACTCCATCTCCTCCTCTCTCAGTGTGCAATGAAAGATTCACTTTAACATTTTCAGTCCTGTTAGTGGAAACAATGGTACAAACCAGGAAACACCTCCACAGGGAAAACATACCTGCAGCACTGGTTTAAAGGCACCAATATGGAAAGTTCATCATGGGAATATTTTCCAAACCTATTTAAAGATAAGAGCAAGAATGTAACAAAGGCTTTTTCAAAGACTGACTTTTTTCTTTTTCCTTTAACCCCAGAAAGATTATTCAAGGTATTTACCCTCTTCCATTATCTAAGTGGATAATAAAAGTTTCATTTCCAAACTTCTCAAAGGTTTCGTAGTGATGTCGATCCATGTTACCTATGGGACAAAAAAAGAAAAAAGACCATTCTCACTCTGGCTTGAGGTCAGAACAATGCAGAAGCACAGTGCTCCCCAAAAAACAGGCTGGGTAGAGCAGAGAAAGCAGCAAACCTGCAGAGCTCATTTGCTCCTACTGTAGACACCTCAAAGTTTGTGATACTGGCAGGGTTGTTAAACCTCTGGCAGCTTTTCAAGTTCCCTGTTGCTTTTACACTTAAGCTCTAAAAGGCCCATCAGGAGGCAAAGCCAACCTTTCCACCCTCCTGGGGCACACCAAGGAAATCCCTCTCCAGCACAGCAGCTCCTCAGCTGCCTGGGGAGCCTGGTCACTGCAGGGCAGCTGTGTTCCCTGCTGCAGGGAGCCCTGCTGCTGCAGCCTGGCACACACACAGGGTGTGTGAAGCAGACATGGTACGTGTGACACCTGCAAGGCTTTGCTCAGGCAGGAGAAAATGCCTGCTTTGAGCAGGGGTGTTAATCCTGGTCACTTTGTTAATACTGCAATCAACTTCCTGAACTCCAACCAAACATCCTGGCTTTCCTCTGGTGAGAGGTTTGCCCCAGTTGCTGACTGCCTGGGAAGCCAGAACAGCATCATGGCTGTAAGATGTGGACCAGGATGGTGCTGACCTGCACAGCTCTCCCTCTGTGAGCTGCTTTTTTAAGGCCAATGTGCAGAGCACTATAGCCAAGCTATGAATTTTGTCTCCCTGGCAGGGGTCTTGAGCTACTCATAGATGCCACATATGGCTCCTGAGCTGTCACCTGGCCTCTCCTGCTGCAGCCTATTGAGGAATCTCAGTGGGGGCAATGGCACAGGATGTGTCCATGCTGGCATGTGCCCAAGGATCAAGGATGGAGGTTGGCAACTCAGAGGTGCATTTGCAGCAGGAAAGGTTTCATGTGAGAATGAGAATTAGGCTTGGAATGTATCACTAGTACCTGGCTGTAAATAATTATTTTATTGAGATCAGGTTACATAAACAGAAGAATTCCTGATACAATCCACAGCTGCTTTTGTGACAAAGCAATGCCTCTTTCCCCCCAACCCTGCCATTTTATAGAGGAGCAGCAGAGAACACTCCTGCAAGATGAAAACAAAGCACCAGTAGTGAGAAGTCCTTGCATGTGCACCCAGGAGCCATATATTACAGGGGTAAAGCACTCACTAAAGCAAACTCTGAAGCCCTTCACTGTTGTGAAGGAGACTGGCCTGCCCTGAATTCATCACCACTCTGCATTTCTGAACATCTTTGTTCCTTTAATCTGCACTGATGGGAATACATAACCATGTAAATCTGCATTTCCTCATAATCATCTAGAAAAGCACATACAGTAAATGCAGCTTCAGCCACGCTTTAGCAAACTGCTGAGCTATGCAGAGCAGTGCAGAAAGAAATGGTTCTTATTCTAATTAAATGTTGCATTTAATTTTTGAAAGAGATGAAACATACCCATTAGGAAATCAAAAACTGTCATATCCATTATATCCAGAATTCTGGTCCCACTGTCATATGGGGGTGTTTGTTTAACCTCTTCACAATAATCTGGATCAACTTCCCATCTGGAAAAGGCAATATTTTGATATTTTGTGTGACAAAACTTACTGAAAATAACCAAAAAATATGTTACTTTGCAAAGATCTACTTGTATCATGTTCGACTGAGGGCAGGGTCAGGTAGAGGCAGCAAATTCCAGCAATGCAGGCAAGCAAGGAAGATTGTGACTGATGGAAAAGGAAGAAAATCACAAGACTGAAAACTATCTGCTTCAGGATTTAGGAGACTAGCTGCACCATCAGTCATTTGGTGCAAACAGCTGAGCCTTGTTTAGGGCTGCTGAGAGCAGTGCATCTTGCTCCCTCTGACAGGACTTGTTCAGGTCCCATTCTATCCTGGCAGTGTCCCATGAGGGAATTGTGCCACTGAAGGTCCTTTTGGGTTCAGGACCACCAGCTGGAGCTCCTGGCACATGGGGGCAGGGCCAGGGAAAGCCCAGCTGCTCTCCTGGGGCCAGGGACTGGGTTATTTCCCCACCACCCTGTGCAGCTCTGCTCACCACTACTCACTCTGCTTTCTTGCGCTTGTGGTAGGAACGCCTCCAAGGGTTTCTCCAGGTTTTCCTTTTTGCTAATGACAAATCAGGCAGGAAAGCAGCCAGGGACCCTTCAATCTGATCTGGTTTCCCACACAGGGCGTGCTCTGTTGAGCAGTAGTAGGAGCATTCCCCATAGAAGCAGATGTTGTTGGCTGGCAAAGAAAGGAAAACAGTTTTAAAGCCTACCCTTAAATTAGTACTGAGAATTCATAAAGGCACTGATGTATGTAGGAGCAGAAATAAATTCAAACCCCTGTTACCACACATAGTTTTCCTCCACTGAAACCACTAGAAAGACATTATTTCAGTGGCTGGGATCATGCCCTGTGCAAAGCTCTTTGTGACTATTCCCAGTCTATTTATATTCCCCAAACCTATTTTATTTTTTAATCCTGTCCTTTCTCCTTTTGTTTTCCCAGACTGATACATTCCTTGGGAGATATTTGCTACCCCAGGCTGAGACCCCAAATCCCACAGCTGAGCAAGTGGCATGTGCCCAAAATTAAGTCACTTCTCAAAATCTTGGTTTATTTCTTTAAGAACGGAGAATATTTCATTCATTTCCTTGCTGGTATGAAAAGAACTGGCAGTTTTTGCAAGGAGAATTATTTACCATCAAGAGTCCCGTGGGGGTGTGCATGGAAGGTGGAAATAGCACAGACGTAACGCTGCCAGCACACATCTCAAACACTAATTCCTTCCTCCACACCTCACATTACTCCAACAACCACAGAAAAAAGAATCTGCAGCAGGTTTTGGACCGTGTGTTACCTTAAAACCTCCCCAAAACTGCCACCACATATTTCTGTACCAACAGGAACACCCACATCTTTACAAGAACATCTCGCCCACAGGAATTCACTGAAGGTGAGAGAGAGCAGCTCATCCCCAAAGCCCACCAACTCCAGACTGTGAACAGGAATAGGAACACACTGCTGCTCTTGCCAGTGTGCTACAACTCTTGTGACATTGCTTTATGCACATAAAATATCATTAGAGGAAGACTGTGCCCTTTCCTCATGATAATGCATGAAGCTGAGAAGTCAGATTGCTTCCTAATTCCCCACAAGGCCTCTAAATTCAAATATTGTTTCTGAACTCCTCTCCCTCTGGGCAGGCTCGGTGTAAATGAGGCAGGAAGGGCTGGGAGTAGCAGGAGGGGATTTTTTGCCTGCCACAGGAAGGAAGTGTGGGTTTGCATGGCAGTGGTGCCCTGCAGCTCACAGCCCTGCACATCACTGTGACATCCCTGGCCCAAACCTGCATCCAGCAGTGGAGATGGGGCACTGCCAGTGGGAGATGCTGAGCCAGGAGCATAGGGGACAACTCTGGGGATGACAGGAGGGAGGGAGGAACAGAGCAAGGAGCTGTGTCTGAGGAAGGAGAGGTAGGGGAACATGGAACAGCAAAAAGGTCTCATGATGCTTTTGATTAATTAGCTGCATTAGCTGGGGCTGGCTGTTAAACCATGGAATTATAGCAAATAACCACACTACAAGGCTGATGTGTTACTACTTGACAATCTGTCCCAGCTTCCCACTGATGTCCCAGCTTTCTCTGTTGATGGCCACCTGATTTGTCCATGAAGTTGTGATTACTTTACTCTAAAACAGCCTCTTTGCATCAGTCTGCTGTGGCTGACTCACAAGGACCACCCATCCATCCATGCTCAGGAGCAACTTACCCAAACTGTATATTTATGTTTACAGGGTTGGATCATAGCAGTTAAATATACCCTGGCTGAGTGCAGAAATATTTACTCTGTGGCCAAAAAGCTTGTTGACAATTACTCAAGGAAAAGAAAAGCACTTCAGGGAAGAGAAAAGGAAGAACAGAAATTACAAAAGGAAGGAAGGGATCACTCAACATATCTATATTTCTGAGTTTGCAATTAAGTGTTTTACTAAGCGGAATATTCTCTCTTAAAAATTGTGTTTCTGCTGATTTGAAGCTGCAGGAGGGCGTGGGCTCCAATTCAGCTGTCTCAGCATCACCCCCTCATCTCTGGAGGGAGGGAACCATGCAGATTTATCTTGAATGCCTGAGATAACTTATCTTCCAGGGCTTCTATGACCTGACTTCCACCTGGCAGCAGGAAGCCAGTGCTCATTCATCTCCTGCCAGATCAGTTTTGTAAAGAGGAAAAGGCCCAGCAAATGCCCCCCGCGCCACCACAGCCTCTGCTGCTCACTATGTAAACCTGACCTTTCAAGAAAAAGGAGTTGTATTAAACACAACATTTTGCTCCGTGGGAAGACAAATACTCTGTTTAATAGTTTTCTTCTGTATTCAGCCTGGGGAACAATGAAACCCTGCTCTATATTGTCAATGAAAGCAACTGGGGCTAATCACTTGTCAGTAATCACACCCTGGTATCCAGGTAGGTCTTGAGGAGAGCTGGGGCTTTGGCAGTGCTGGTGTTTGCTGCTGCAGGGCTGTGCTGTGAACACCACTGCTGCCTGCCACTCATCCCACTCAACCCTGCCAGGACCTTCCAGCTCTTGATCCTCCACAGAGCCCCATCGCCTGCTCCAGCATCCAGTGCCCTGAGCAATGGCAAGATGTGTCCTGTCATTAAAACTGAGCTTGCAGTAAAACCACAAGTGTATTTCTCACTGACAACTTACATTCAATGGCAGATCTGCCAGCAGCTATTCCCCCCATGGGCTCAAACCTGTGGTACCTGCTCCCCACTGCTCCTGTTCAGTTTCTGGGGAAAGTGGAGGTGAAAGGATGCTGGATCTCAAGCTACTGCTATAGAAATTAACTGCCTTGATTGATACAGAACAAACATCTTATTATGTCTGCCCTAGTCCTTATGTACCAGCAGTAAGATGAAGCAGCCTGAATTATCTGGGGAAACATTCATTTCTAAGGTTTCTTAAAAATGTAAGGGAAAAAAAGAAGCACCAAATATAGAAAACCAGAGATCTCATTTAAGACTTCAAGGTGCTGTAGCAAGGCTCTTTGAAACCTAAGTAGGTGACCCACATTCTGCACAGCAGGCTGAGGGTGAAATTCCAGCTAGAGACACAAGCCCAGTGCTTCATGGCTGACAGCAGGGTTTGGCTTTCCGAAGCAAAAATAAGAGAGAAAGGGGAGATGAGCTCCCTGCTGGGGCACAGTCCTTCTCCTCTCACTAAAATTGCCCAAACCATATGTTCCTCTCAGCAGATAAAGGTGTTTCTTGCATAAGTACACCTGCAAAAGGAGCAACAGCCAGGAATTTGTGCTCCTGCAGGGTGGGCAGGAATGGCAGCAACAGCAGTGCTGGCAAAGCAGACAGGGAGGGATGTTTAGACATGCTGGAATGTCCAAATGCTGAGCATTTCCAACATGCAAAACACTCCTTCACTACAAGCCAAAATTGTTTCCCCAAAGCACCAGAAAGACAAGAGAACCTCATGTTGCAGTGTCTGACTTTCATTATTTGAGGAGGAATGGATGTGATTCCTAATGAAACGCAGGCAAAAATCATGGTCTGGTGATCGAAACTCCAACTAATTACAACAATTAAGAACCAGAGTGTCTGTGTCTCATCTGCAAATTCTCTGTGCATCCTCCTGATAGCTGAACAATAATTCTTCTCAGCAAGAAAAGGAACAAGGGGGGATACCTTAAAGCAAATTGCTCAGCAGAGCAATTCTTTTATTCAGCTTTGCATGACTGTTAATAGAGGACATTTAGCAAGCCTCTGCAATTGGAGTGCTGGAAAGAATCCTGAATATTTACTACAGCAATGCATGAAAAGATCTTTCATTTACCTGCTCAAAATAATAAGTAATTCGGAATTGCTATTGTATGCTGAGAGGGAAAAAAAAATCCATAATCCCTTGGAATTGGTTAATATGAACAAAAACATAGTGCTTACTAGCTGTGTAACATTGATTTCTTTAAGCTGCTGCCTCAATTACTTCCAAAATGAAGGCTGACATCATTAATATGTCTCTTTTTTCCTAGCAAATTACCATTCATTTGTAAAAGTAGCAGGGCTACTGCAGTCTGCCCTGCTGCAAAGGATGTAAAATTAATTTAAATAATTACTGACCTAATTCCATTTCTCATGTTTAAGTCCAAACTGCCTGAAAGTGCACTTTTCTGCAATCTGCTTTCTCTCCAAGTGCAGCCTAATGCATCCACTGACCTGTCTGCTCACAGCCTTTGTCACTTTTCCATGGGAGCAGGGATGCTGCTGGGCACTCTGAAGCTGCCTCTGGTTCCCTGGCCCTGATTTCCACACCTGACAAGGGAGGTGGCCCAGGAGTGGAAATGCAGTGAGGTTTCTTCCAACACATCCCCACACAGGTCTGGGAGATAACACAAAGCTCCTGGTGGGATCCTTGGGGTGCCTTGAGCAGGGCCAGGAGCTGTACTCGATGAGCTTGAGGGGCCCTTTCCAGCTCAGTTTATTCCATGGTCCTGTGATTGATGAGTATCATCAATAATCACCCTCTGAGATTGATGAGTATCATCAATAATCACCCTCTGAGGGTGCAAACCATGGGCTCCCACCCCAAGGGGAACACCATCCTATATATCCAATTTCACATAGTGCTTGTTTAATTTTAAGAGCTATGTGTGTGTGTGTGCATGGAGAGGGACATTCTGCCAGCAGGCACCAAGTGTCCCCATGACCATTAATTGTCCCTGAGCACTGCTGGGGCTGGAGATGCAGTGACAGAGACACCTGAAAGGGAGTCCCAGAGGGTCTTCTTCAGGCTCATGGTGGTGCACAGCCTGGGCTGTGCATGTACCAGAGGTGACACCTCAATTTCTCACCTTTGGGGCAGCTCTCCCTCCAAACTGCCTCAGCTGCCCTTCATCTGCCCAAGGGGCAACTCAGCTCCTGAGCTTTCCTCGGGCTCCCTCTTCCTCCTCACCCCCCAGACCACAAGTCTCACCCCAGCACCTCCCTCTTCTCTTCCTTCCCTGCCCTCAAGCTGCTGCCTGAGCTGCCTGCTGGCCTTGTGGAAGTTGTTTCTAAGAGCTTAATTTAGGATCTTTGTTATTTTTTTCATTAAGCATTAATTAATGTCTGTCTTTTAAGGTCAGTATGAAATGCAAGACAGAGGTTGGGCATATGTTAATGAGAATCTGACTAATTAAGCTGGGGACTTGTAGGGAAGAATTCTGACAAGTAACCAACGTGATTTAACCAAAGTATATTGATGCGGGAAATGTAAAATTGAAAGAAAAATTAATTGCTTAAGCATTTTATTCTCCAGAAAACCCTGATTCATAGCTAATCAAATATTTTAATTGAATTTATCTGAGACCTCTAAATAAATTTGAATAAAGGATTATGCTTGGATGTCTGGAATTTTATAATGGCAAGATAAAGATCTTCATCTGAATTGGCAGCCTTAACTCTGTGTTGCCCTACTCTGGCTGCTGTAAGCTGCTCAGCACTTGAGAACAGTTTTGTAATTCTCAGAAATAATTCAAGTTCATCCCTAAATCTTGAAATATACCCTAGGAAGACAAAAAATTAAGCAAAACTACTAATCCACATCTTACTTGCCAAAATAGGAATAAAATGGCTTATGTTTAAAGTGAGCCATAGCACCTCGTGCACAGTCAAAAGATTTTTTTTTTTTTGCCATTTTTTGTGCATATTTACCTACAAAAATCAAGCAAAAAATATAGTACAGAGAGACAAAGAGGGAGGGAAAGCAACTAAAGCAAATGCAGAAATATTGTGTCCACCAGGTTTGGTGAACATGTATTTTCATTATAACTGTGCATGTAAAACTGGAGTGCTCATAATACTGGGTAAAATAAAACCTTCTGCAATTATATAACATATTTTACAAGCGAAGTTCTGGAATAAATGACTGTCTGCTTAACTGTGTCCTGCAGAGCTGAACATAAATATGAAGCTAAAAATAACAGCCGTAATAATGACTTTATTGGGGATCAGAAAAGTGTGATAAACATTTTAAGAGCAAAAGCTCGGCAATGACAGCTCTGGTTTCTAGCTAACAGCAATAAATTACAGTTACATTGGGAGAAACTGTAATTAAGTCTTTGGATTTCGACTTTAGGGATCTGGGATAAACAGCTTCTGGCCAACCACACACAGAGCAAGGGAGAGATCTCCAGAGCTTTCTGCTCCAGATTGCCTCTTACACAAGTCACAGCCTCAGATCAGCAAAGCACACTTGCACACAGCTGAAACAATATGAATTAAGCTACTGGAATATGGCACTGTGCTTTAAATTGAACCTATAACCTATTCATTCTATATGTAAGAACAAACTTAAACATTATATCTGTGCCTTAACTAAGAGCCTCAGTTTCTCCATCTCAGCATCCAAGATGTTAAACAAGACATGCTACCCGTTTTTCTGAACTTTTGCCCATTTTCCCTATTCCAGCTGCATATTCTGGTGTGCAGGATGTATATTCTGGTGGAGGTCCATCCTTGACTTTGTCCACAAAATGTTGTGAAAGACTCAAGAGTGAGTGGTATTGGCTTCTGGGTCAGCCCTCAAAGCAAGAGTGAGGACTGTGAACAATTCAGGTCACTTCTAGCCCAACAGGGAATTTGAGCTGGAAGCAGGATATATGTATTTCCTGATTTTTTGTCCAAACGCCTGTTGTAATAAAACTTGAGTGGCTCTGAGAAATTAGGTTTGGTACTCCAGTCAAACCCAGAAATAAATGCAGCTGATCAACAAAAGTGACAGATCACATTGCAGTGGATAGAAAAAACCTTGAATAACTAATGGACTGGGTAATAAGGTTTTGGGTAAACTGAGAGCATCAGAAAAAATTGCATTAAAAATTGTTCTACATAAAACATTGTTGAATACATTGCTTTGGTGAACATAAAAGCCTCTCTCTGCAGATAATTTGTCAAGGGGAAAAGGCACTCAACTCAAAACAATAAAGTCTTCTTTGTAAGCTAAGTCTCCACATTTATTTTTATTCAAAGGTCTAGAAGACAGTTTTACTAGAAATATCTGAGCAATTAAGCAATCTACACATCGTTTCCCTAAGTATGTGTTCAGCAGGATAGAGAGAAGAGAGTGTTATTTCCAGGACTACCTGGTGAGATGAAAAATGTTCTCCACAGCTTCTTGTCACGAGTAACATCTCGTATTTCTCTCGTCATGTTAACCAGTCTACCTGCGACCGGCGGCACGCGCCGGAAATCCAGGATCCTGCAAGAGCAGAAGAGACATGGTTTATGTAAAGGATTAAAATCTAATGAGACTTATAGGTTTTAGGAAGCTTCATTACACTCTGAAGGCACATTTATCTGTGGTCTTTAAGGAGTATAAAGCCCATCACTTTAAAGTGGATAATTCTTCATGTAATGCATTACAAAATATGTCCTAAATATGATGAGTTCTGCGCTGCCTACGTAGTATGGAGTAAAATACAAGAAAAGTATGGAGGGCATTGCTCCATGATAAAAATGAAAATACATACGATTCCAAAAACCAGAGACAGCACAAAAATTTATATTTTCACTTTGTGTTACTTCATGATTGTTATGACATGCATTTTGCTCACCAATTTTTAAGTGACTTGGGGAATGGGATTTCAGCCTCTTTCCTCCATAAACACCATGTAATTCTTTTTCTGACAGCCTTAGTATGTGTTTGATTTATTTCCTTCTGCTCCTCTCTGTTTTAATATCCTTATACCAACCTAAACAATCTCCCTGAGACCAAAAATCTTCCCACAGGCAAAGGCTGGGAGAAGAGCCTCTCCCTATCCCCAACTCCCCCGCCTTCAGAGATCATAAAAACCTCCCTACGAAGCACTGCTATTAGATACAGTAAAAGAGCAAAGACCCCATACAAAGTCTCCCCATAGGCAGGATTTTTATATCCACTGTCTGCTGTTCACATTTTCTTCATTGGGTAGCAACTGCTTTTCCTGCTTAGTGTGTGGATATTTAACACACCCCCCGTAGGAGCTCCACTGATGTTTTTTTTTCTACAGCACCATCTGCTTAAAAAGGCAATATAAAATGTAAAGCAGAAGGGATCAACACCAAGGTCAACAACAATGAAATAGAGAAGATCCTTGAAGGATCTGATTAGGATTGGCTCTTACTGGAAAACCTACCCTGTGCCACCCACCGACACGTTCCCATATCCCAGCCATCATTCCAGAAGGCAGCAATGCTACACAAACCCCCAAATAATTTGTGGCCCCAAAGCTTTGCGCTTTTGAAAGGATGTTTCTTGGCTTCTCACAGTGTGAAAGAGGCTTCAGTGAAATGCCATTGTTCCCAGACATACTGTTAATCACTAATTAGTAATTCCCACCCCTCATCTGGGCAGGCAGGGAGGGCTGCAGTCTTGGGGTATCCACCATCCCCTGCACTAACTCTGGAGGGGGAACATTTCCAGCAACAGGAGCATGAGATGACCACCACTGCCCTCTCCTTCCCACTAACTTTTGCCATAAATATGCTCCTGATGTGGGACAGTCCCAGCTTTTTGCTGTGAAACCAGAACTCACTCCCATCTCAAGGACTCCTCTCTGAATGCACCATTCCCAGGGCTCCTTTGGATCTCTGTGCCCTGGAGCTAATTGGGGTGAGCCAGGCTCCTGTCACACAACGTGACACATTCCCTGGGAGATGGGTCCTCTCCATATGTACTGCAAGATCACAAGGGAAATTAATTTCTCAGCTTCTCTTCAATTTTTCTTGTTGAGAATTACTTATTGCCAGGTTTCTCATTCCCCGAGTAAGTCGCATTTCCTAATTATTAACTTACTCTTTCATCATTTGCCATTTCATTTCTTCACGGCATTTACCCACCTTTGTTCCATTTTCCCCTTTTAAAAAGTAATTCAGTTACAGGAACGGCCAAATGCAGCAACTTATCACAATATTTCCCCTTTTAATGTAAATCTGTCCTACTTGCCTGTCGAGGTGAAATGCTGCTATTTCTGCATTATGTCTCTCATAGTCTGAGAAGTAAAAAAAGTCAGGTGGGGTTTCTTGCTCTCTGGTTTGCCTGCAAAGGAAAACAAGGGAAGTGCTTTAATGAAGGGTTAGCATTCCTAAGGAGCAGTGCTCAGTCATCAACATGCTGTTCAGGAGTTCTGTATTGTTTGCTTAATGGAAGACCTTTAAATACCTAATTTGTGCATTATTTGCCATGCAGCCTTCATTTTATCTTCTTTTTCGAGCTACTCTAACAAAAAAATAGGAATTAAAGACTTGTGCAGGCAGTGTGCTGTCACAAAGCTGTTCCACTCAAAACTCTTGCTCTATTTAACAAGATCTGTTTTATCACTCTCAAACATTTCATTAGCGATAGCGGTGAAGACAATGTCATTTCATTAAATTATCATTAACTGTAATTATGAAATTTCCAAAAGTAATAACATTTTTCTTTCATCTTTGGCAGCCATGCAGCTCCCATCTAGAATATGCCTCTCCCTTTGTATTACTTAGAGCCAAAAGTGACATGTTTTCCTCATTTCAGAAGGAACGGGATCATTGCAGCTTGATGGCCACACCACTTGTCTTGTTTCAAAGAACATTAACAAGACTCTGCTTGAGAGAGGATGCAGAATTTGTTTCTTCAGTTTACGAACCAATAAAAAATGTCATTCTGATAGGAAGGCTGGAAAAGGGAAGGCTAAAGCTTCCACACCACAGCACATGGAAAATACAAAGCTCTGTGTAAGAGAGGAGCAAATCCCTGTCTCACTTCAAGCACCTTCCAGTCCTTTTGGATGGAGCACAGCTCAAGCAGCTGCCCAGTGCAACATCTGGGTCCCACCTCTACCTGTTTTAAAGTCCTCAGAGGGAGATAAGCCCAGCAAAGCTGCCTGCAGAGCATCTGCAAGGGAGGACAGCTCTCCAGAAGAGGAAAACAAAGCTCTCTCTCATTCCCTGCAGCCACAGGTGGCCCAGCTGACAGCTCATGTGTCACTCCTGCTGCCTGCTGGCCATGAAAATACAGCTTCTACATGGGGACCTTGGTGCATGAGCAGCTTTGGGATCATGCTGGTGCACAGCTCTAACCTCCTCATTTGAAGTCCTAATTTTGGGTTTGCTGGGGACCTGAAGCTGTGTCTACCCACCACTGTGACTACCAGAGCTGCTGTCTGCCCACAAACCCACCTGGGGGTCTCCAAGCTGCTGGAGAAACCTGACAAGTCCTGTGGTTTTTGGCTGTATGAAGACTTTGTTGTGCACCCAGCAGGGTTTGAAAGCCTGATATCCTTTTTCATACATTCCTTTTTATTATATTAACATCTTGGCAAGGTACTCTATCTTGTCCTAAATGATGAACAACATCAAGGTATTTGTCTTGTGTCCACTCAAGGTCAGAGTGACCTCAAACTCCCCAGGGATGCTGTGGCAAAATGGCACTGACCACTGTCACAGCAGTGGTCATGGAGGTGGCCAACACTTGGCTGAAGTCCTGCTGGGCAGCTGCTGTGGCCACAGAGATCACAAGGACACAAGCTAAAAGCAAGCCTGGCATAAAATAAAAAATAGCACTTTGCTTTCTCTCTGTAAGAAATGCCAAAGGGGAAGGAGCACACCCACAAAAAGGAATGGGGTGTACACCTCACACCACACACCAAGCAGCCAAGACAAGAGTTAGGAGCTGCAAGTCATTGTGCATATTCCCTTAAAAAATGAAGGAATGAGCCCTGAATATTAATTCAAAGAAAAACGATTAACCTATTTCTGCTGGCCATAGAATTACATATTTGTATGTAATCTTCCCTCCTCTCCAGATTTTAAAAGGGTTGATTTCTTCAGCAAATCCTTACCTCAGAAACTTTATGTACAGCAAGCACAACAGGTAAGGTGCAGAAAATATTGCTAATTAGCTAATCAATGTCATCTGCTTTTTATCTCCTGGACACTTTAGAAGAAACCACGGCTGTTCCTTTGTGAGAAAATCTTGCTGCAGAAAATCAGACTGAACTGAGGGCTGGATCTGAGCCTTGCAAGCACAGCCTGCCCCAGCCCAGCCCCTGCTCCCTTTCACTGCTCCCTGTGCTCCCTGCCAGCCCCAGCAATGGCTGTGGATATTCTTCATTTGGGAGTAAGGACAGCTGTCCTGCAGGCTCAGGCTTGTTTGTACATATTTTCCTGCTGTCAGAATGTATTATTAAGTGGTTGCACACCCTCCTAAGGAAATAATGAAACTGATTTCCCTAAAACCTTCAAAAAAGGACAACAAATCCACAGTGCAATCTAGACAATGGAAATACCAGCTTTTTTTGAACCTGATGAAATAAACTCCCAGGTTCCTTCAGTGTTTAAGGAACAAAAACTATTCTCCAGCCACTTTTCACATGGTCCATGCCCATGTCCAACACCTGGTACCCACTTCTCCGCCTCTTGAAAACACCACGTTATTCAGAAAGCAAAATGGAAGGAGGATTTTCCAACTATCCAAGATACTTTATATTCCTTATATTCCTCTGTAGAGCTCTCCAGAACTCAGATGTACCAGATCCAAACATGAAACCCTCTCCTGAAACAACCTTGAAATATCCTTTATGCTGACTTACTCCAATCTTCCACGGATATAACAGAAACCTGATTTCTTGGATCTAATATTAACTAGACAGGTTTTTACTCAAGCAGACATTTATTTTTAATTTGATGTCTGCAGCAGTACCTGAAGAGGTTCCTTGGGAATTCCCCATCCAGAGCAAGCTGCCACACCACCAGCAAACACCAACACTTGTGTGGATTGTAGCCCAAGAAACACAACTGAACTTACAAAGCCACATGAGTCTGACAGAGCTCTGAACCCATGTCATTAACAGACTGATATGAGAAAAGCTTCAAGTGTCAAAGGGCACCTACAACATAATCTAGAATGTTTACTTTATCCAACTGCATTGATACATAATTTTATTTTATCCATGTTAAAAAATGCCTTTTTTTTAAACTGTGCATAATCTAATCAAGTCTGTTGTTTGCTAATTCTAATGATCTATTCTGATGTAAAAATATATAGAGGTGGAAGATCAAACTGCTCTCAGCAAGTTCAGTGAGTTACTCCAGTACTCCAGCTTTAGATAATAGTAACTAGTCTTCAGCCCCTAAGTGACAGGCTGGGAAAGGGGAACGAAACTCCCAGATCCTTACAGGTTAAGTAAAAACTCTTTCAAAACAACACTGGAACTGATCCACCCAAATGCATGTTTGAAATCAGAACTGCATTTTAAAAGGGGGAAAAACCCACCCCTACATACAAAACAGTTTGATTTTATTACATGATGGTTATTGAAGGTTATTATCTAATAAAATGACACATATCATGAGATACTTGAGCAAAGAGACCACCACAACTTCGGAGGGACAATGAACTGCAGTCTGAGCTCCTCAGTGCCAGCAGTGCCATCCCACCCCGAGCAGGGACAGGTTCTGCACAGGTTGCAGACGGTGGGAGAGGATTTCTGGCAGCAGCTCTTATTTTGCAAACAGTTGGAATCTGGTGATCCTCTCTTTGGAGAAGGATTTGGCAGATATTTATAACGGCAGGCTGGAAAGCTCTGGAGGAGAGACAGATGGAGGTCTGTTGATACTGCACACAGTTAAAAATTACACGGTGGCACCAGCCCAATTACAGCATGAGGAAAAGACAAATCAGCACGGTAACACGTGTAGGGGAGAAGTAAGAACCGAGGGGAAATCAAAGCCCATGAAGATTTTCCCACCATGGCACAACTCAGAAAACACATAGGGAGCAAAGAATAATTTTAAACAGGACAGGGACACGTTTGTGTTGACACAAGACAAGATGCAACTGTGATCTGATCTAGTGGCTATAAAAGTGAGTCATGATTACAAACAGAAGAGAGAAAGCTGCTCTGATAAATGAACAGTCATGAATAAATCTGGTGAGTCAGCTCCTTCCTAGCTACAGTTGGGACCTGGTTTGGTGTTAAGTAGTATTTGGATAAACCAACATAATGATTTGTGTTCAGAAATAATTGTAAAGTCTCAAGCTTCTCTTCAATGTTTCTGTAATTTTTTTTTGCCAATTACTCGGTCCTCCAGCCTCAACATTAATAACTTCTCAGGAGTTTTCTTCTTGCTGTTCATGAACCAAATCACCACAGGGCAACTGCAGGCTCTGCAGACACTCTGGTATTTCAGAACACAATATTATAAAAACTAAACCTTTAACATGGAAATCTGTATTTAGTTTCCAGGATCACTAGCATACACCTGCCTAAACTACCAGGATTAACACCCACCAGGGCCGTGCATTACTCGAAAGAATCCTGCTCAGTGCCAGACTTCCTCTGCTCTGGAGGGGTTCTATTATCTGTACAGCAGCCAGAAAGCTAAAAAATAGGGCAAAGAGCCCAAAGTGAGTTAAGTATTATCCTGACAGACACATGCTGCCTCCTCATGCTGCAGCCCAAAGACATCTCTGAGATGTCTTGTGTCAGACCCACGTCCCTGAACGAAGGAGAGGATGTGCTGCTGGCTGGAAAACAGCTCCTTTTAAACAGGCTACCCTCGTGTTCTGACACATAATCAGGGGAATCAGCTGCTGGGATTAGGGATGATTAGGGAGCACGACAAGGAGCTTTGCAGCAGCAGGGAGCAGGTTTGCTTGGGTCAGGCCATTTTGCAGACAGAGCCCCTGCCTGACCCAGCCAGGGGAATTGGGCAGCAGCAAACTCACTAAGAGATATAAAGCACTGAGGCTTTGTAATTGTATTGGCAGGGACAGGACTAACACTGATAAAAGCATAATTTGGCTATCAGAACAGATAACAGGAGATTAACTGGGTCCACCCACAGCCATAGGTTGCTATTCTCCTTTGAAAGCAGCTTTCCTCTCTTGCTGAGGAGCATTTAAGGTGTTTAAACACCTGTCCTGAAGCCCAGTTGCAGGCATAACAGTTCATACAGCGTGTTACCTCAATGATAAAATATAACTAATACCAGACTAAAAGGATAGTTACTGCAGGACTAAAAGGTGGCCACTCAGCAGTTTGCTGCAGTTTCAATGAT